GATAACTGAGTTTGGAAAATTTTCGGGTTACGTTGAAGCATTCTCAGAGTATGATTCCATTCATAATAGATGGCACATGGATCCTTAGACTTGGTGGTGTGCATATGGTGCATATGCACCATCTCTTCAAAAACTAGCTTTGAGATTGCTTGTGCAACCTGCCTCTTCATCTTGTTGTGAGAGAAATTGGAGTACTTACTCCTTTATTCACTCAGTGAGAAGGAACAAGATGGTCCCTCAACGAGCGGAGGATTTGGTGTTCATTCATAGCAATCTTCGTCTTTTATCAAGGAGGAGCTCCCAATACTTGCAAGGAGAGACAAAATGTGGGACATTGCCGGAGATAACTTTGACTCACTTGATAATATTGGAATGCTTGGGATAGCTAACCTCTCACTTGATGAATCGGCTATGGAGGCGGTCCTATTTACAGATGAAGGAGAAGATGGAGGCAGTGGTGAAGATGTTGTAATAGTTTCCTCTACTTAGGTTGATATTTATGAATTTTGTAATAGTTGTTGGTACATTGGATAATTTTATATTTTGTGGTTTGATTTTTATGCATTTTGTAACAAATGATAGTTGGTAGCTTCGAATAACATGTTATGTATTGATGGAATGCTATTTTATGTTAATTGTGAACGATATATATGATGTTAAATCAATTAAATGTTTATTTTTTATAATTTTAATAGTGTTATTTTGTATATTTTATTACCTTTATTTGATTTTTTTAATAATTTTATGACCTATAATAAATAAGATTAATTATATATATTGAACATGTCCCCAGCGTGTCGTGTCTCCTATTTTTTGAAAATTTGCATTTTTGCGTGTCCATGTCGTGTCGCGTGTCCGTGTCCGTGCTTCATAGACCAAACATATCCAATAATCTTTTGATAAGTCATTTTTTGTGTTGGTAACTTATTTAATTATTTGTTAATTTTATGATATTTTCACTTCTAACACTACAATATATGCGTTTTAGAGATCAATTTTTTTTTTTTTAATTTCTAGAAGTGAAAATTTTGTTGCGAAAGACATTTAGAGACTAATTTCCATCATCGTGAGGATAGTTGCTAAAAGGTCGCCCTGAAAAGTCAAAAATAAGACTTTTAGCTATACAATTTTGAAAAAATACTAATAAATAGACTTTTAGGGACAATATAATTTGATCTCAAAATGGTTTATTTTTTTGGACAAAAAATTTGGTACCAAAAATATAATAATTAATCACTAATGTCCAATTTTCATTGCTAAAATTATAATAACGACACTTTTTGTAACAAAAATATTTGGTCCCCTAAAAATAATTTTGGTCTTTAAAACCTTAATTTTTTGTAGTGTGATAGGTGTTTTTCCATTTTAATTTTGCATTTTGTATTTTGTAACTTATATAAAAAATATAATTTAGCTAAACCTCATAGGGGAATTTGTAATTTAGCTAGACCTCAAGGAGTGTAGGTAATTTGCCCTTATTTGTCAAAGGACATTTTGGTCAATTTATGATCCCCGTTAACAGTGTTAACTGCGGTGGGGTGCGATGTAATTTTTAAAACCTTAGGGGAGAATTTGTAATTTAACTAAACCTTAAGGGAGGTGTAGGTAATTTGCCCTTTCAGGTTAAATTAGGTTGTTTGGTGCTTTGAAAAGGTATCAAGGGCTATATCGTCCATCAATTTATATTTTGGTGATATCAACTAATCATTCTTAACGTTTAGCTAACAGCAAATGTTAAATTGTTATGCGAATATAAACCTGAGGACGAAATGTAATTTCTGAAACCTTAGAGAGAATTTATAATATAGTTAAATCTCAAAGGGAATGTAGGTAATTTTCCCTAATAAAAATAAGGGTAAATTATACACCCCATGAGATTGCTTAAAATACAGATCGCCCCACGTGGTTTGGAAAATTACAAATACCCCCTTATTAGAATTTTTTATTTAACAGAATTAATCAAAAAAATAAAATTCATAATTGCTCTTCTATACAATAATAAAATTACCTAAATTATTAATTGAAACATATTTTTAACATCATTAAAAACTGATGCTTGACTTGATGATTTATTAATAAAAGTGGCAATTTGTTATGAAATTAGAAACCTCAATAGGTGGAATGTAATTTTCAAAATCACAGGAGGCGATTCGTATTTTAATCAAACCTCAGGGGTAGGGGTGGGCACGGGTCAGTTGCGGCTACAAACCTAACCCACTACACCACTACCATCTCACCTACTCCACTAAACCTAACCCACTACACCACTACCACCTCCACTTCACCTACTCCTTACCTACTACACACTCACCCTCTTCTATATATAGGAATCATGAATCATTGTAATATATATAACATCAATATGATCAATCAATAATACATTAATTTTTTACAGAATCAGATCAGCCATCACATGCAAGTAAGCCCGTGAATATTTATGTTCAGTCTTTTGGTCTTCACTGGCGTGCCAACGATCAGACTAGCACTCTCTTTGTCATTTCTTGCACATAGCTTCTCGCTCTCGTAACTGTGATCTTTGTCTGTGCAGGCATGATGAGATTGAGAATGAGAATAACCATGACCGTGATCGTGACCAAGCCATATGACCATAATGAAGTTAATCATGAAAACAAGTGTAGCAGATTGCAAACATGAGCTTCCCAACTTGAAGTCCATACGGTGAAAAGAGAAAGAGAGATTCTAGCAATGTCAATAAGCAAGTGTGCAAGTGTGATGCATCTGTTAGCAAGTGTGACTTTTAATTTTTTATTTCTTAACCAAATTAATTTTTATTTTTTTAAATAAATTTCTGAAAATTATACCAAACACTATGAAAGCACGGACACCTCTCCGAGGGCTCCGTACCAGTGTCAGACACGTGTCGGACACGGACGCGCCTCGGACACGCGGTGGACACGTGTCCGACACGCATGGGAGAGTGTCCCATTTTTTTAAAAATTTTTTTACATCCGGACACGTTTTGGACACGCTATAGACACGTTTGGGACACGCACGGGGGCAATTTCACAGTTTATTAAATTTTTTTGGGGTCGATTTGAAAATAATCAAAAATAGATCAAATTTGCCCTAATCTACTATTCGCCCTAATCTACTTCGAATCGGCTTTCGAATAGAAGATAAACAGCGCAGCAGAGAAAGGGTGAGAAAGAGAGAAAGAGAGAGGAACTGACTTCGTCGTTTGTCTTCTCTTGTCGATCGTTGCTCCTCGTCGGTCGTCTGTCGTCGGTCTTCGATCTTCTTTGTTTGATCTGCGATCCTCAGTCGATTTTCTGCTTCGTTAAGGTACGACTCTTCTTCGATCTTCTTCGATCGCTCTCTCTCTCTCTCTTCGATAGCTCTCTCTCTCTCTGTCTCAGCCTCTTCTTTCCTCACAATTTACTTCGCCCTTATTTCATTTTTTTCTTTTATTCTGATTCTGATTTTTATTTTATTTTTTTTCTTTTATTAATTTAATTTTTTCTTTTCTTTTTCTTTAATTCTGATTTTGTTTTATTTTATTTTTTCTTTTCTTTTCTTTTTTTTTATATTCTGATTTTATTTTTTCTTTTCTATTATTTGAGGATATAATTTTAATAATGTATATTTATTAATTTTATTATAGGGACCAATTATTAATTCTGAAACAATGGCTACGAGTGGTAGTTCTAATGATATACCTGATGATGATTTTGATGAGAACAAACCATTGTGGAAATATATAACTAAATTAGCAAAATCTGGGGAAGGAGGAGGAAATTGCCAATTACAATGTAAATTTTGTAATAATACTTTCAAAGGTTCATATACAAGAGTAAGGGCACACTTGTTAAAACTCCCAGGAAAGGGAATTGGTGCTTGTAAGAAAGTGACAAGTCAAAAACTTTCACAACTGCAAAATGAGAATGATGCTGCTGAGCTGAGAATTAAAAATGCTCTTCCCAAAAATGTACCATTCCCTCCTTCCACTGTATTAGTGGGTAATAGTTATGCTTATGAATCAAAGAAGAGGAGAACATGTGAGAGTGGGAGTGGGAGTGGGAGTGCTATTGAGAAAGCATTCAACTTGAAGGATAGAGAGCAATTGCATTTTGAAATTGCTAGGATGTTCTACTCGGGGGGTACCTTTTAATCTTGCAAGAAATCCTTACTATGTTAGCTCTTACACATTTGCTGCAAATCATAATATTCCTGGATATTTGCCTCCCGGTTATAATTTGTTCCGAACCACATTACTTCAAAAAGAGAGGGCAAATATTGATAAATTGTTGCAACCAATTAGGGGCACATGAAAGGAAAAAGGGGTGAGCATTGTTAGTGATGGTTGGAGTGATTCTCAAAGGAGGCCTTTAATTAATTTTATGGCAGTGAGTGAAAGTGGGCCTATGTTCATTAAAGCAGTTGATTGTTCTGGAGAAACTAAAGACAAATATTTCATTACAAATTTGATGAAAGAAGTGATTAATGAGGTTGGGCCAAGTAATGTGGTTCAAGTCATCACGGATAATGCTCATAATTGTAAGGCAGCCGGATAACTCATTGAAGCTCAATTCCCTCATATTCTATGGACTCCTTGTGTGGTGCACACATTAAATCTAGCTTTGAAAAATATTTGTGCTGCAAAGAATATTGAGAGGAATGAAGTCACATATGAAGAATGTAGTTGGATTAGTGATATTGCCGGAGATGGTTTGATGATTAAGAATTTTATCTCTAATCACACAATGCGATTGGCTATGTATAATGAATTTGTGTCATTGAAGTTGCTTTCGGTTGCCAAAACACGATTTGCCTCCACAATTGTTATGCTCAAGAGGTTAAAGCTTATAAAACGTGGTCTTCAAGCAATGGTAATTAGTGACAAGTGGAATCGCTATAGAGAGGATGATGTTGGGAAGGCAAAATTTGTGAAAGAAAAGATTTTGGATGATGTGTGGTGGGATTACATTGATTATATTCTTTCCTTCATGGGTCCTATACATGACATGCTTAGGGCTTGTGATACGGACAAACCTTGCCTTCACTTAGTATATGATATGTAGGACTCAATGATAGAGAAAGTGAAGATGTCAATTTATAGGCATGAAGGGAAAAGAATAGATGAGGAATCTACATTTTACAATGTGGTGCATCAAATTCTCGTGGATCGTTGGAATAAAAACAATACTCCTCTCCATTGTATGGCACATTCATTGAATCCAAAGTAAGTACGACATTTAAATTTGTTTTAGATATTTCATTTTAATGGACTTATCTGGTCTTTCTTGAAATAATTATTTTTCCTATTTTGGATTGTAGGTATTATAGTGATGAGTGGCTCCATGAGGATCAAAATAGAGTTCCTCCACATAGGGATGAAGAGGTGACACGTGAGAGGAACAAGTGTTTTAAGAGGTATTTTGAAGATATCACGGAGCGAACCAAGGTGATAACTGAGTTTGGAAAAATTTCCGGGTTATGTTGAAGCATTCTCAGAGTATAATTCCATTCATAATAGGTGGCACATGGATCCTTATACTTGGTGGTGTGCATATGGTGCATATGCACCATCTCTTAAAAAACTAGCTTTGAGATTGCTTGTGCAACCTGCCTCTTCATCTTGTTGTGAGAGAAATTGGAGTACTTATTCCTTTATTCACTCAGTGAGAAGGAACAAGATGGTCCCTCAACGAGCGGAGGATTTGGTGTTCATTTATAGCAATCTTCGTCTTTTATCAAGGAGGAGCTCCCAATACTTGCAAGGAGAGACAAAAATGTGGGGCATTGCCGAAGATAACTTTGACTCACTTAATGAAATTAGAATGCTTGGGATAGCTAACCTCTCACTTGATGAATCGGCTATGGAGGCGGTCCTATTTACAGATGAAGGAAAAGATGGAGGCGGTGGTGAAGATGTTGTAATAGTTTCCTCTACTTAGGTTGATATTTATGGATTTTGTAATAGTTGTTGGTACATTGGATAATTTTATATTTTGTGGTTTGATTTTCATGCATTTTGTAACAAATGATGGTTGGTAGCTTCGAATGACATGTTATGTAGTGATGGAATGCTATTTTATGTTAATTGTGAACGATATATATGATGTTAAATCAATTAAATGTTTATTTTTTATAATTTTAATAGTGTTATTTTGTATATTTTATTACCTTTATTTGATTTTTTTTAATAATTTTATGACATATAATAAATAAAATTAATTATATATATTGAACGTGTCCCCCGCGTGTCGTGTCCCCTATTTTTTGAAAATTTGCGTTTTTGCGTGTCCGTGTCGTGTCGCGTGTCCGTGTCCGTGCTTCATAGACCAAACATATCCAATAATCTTTTGATAAGTCATTTTTTGTGTTGGTAACTTATTTAATTATTTGTTAATTTTATGATATTTTCACTTCTAACACTACAATATATGAGTTTTAGAGATCATTTTTTTTTTTTAATTTCTAGAAGTGAAAATTTTGTTATGAAAGACATTTAGAGACTAATTTCCATCGTCGTGAGGATAGTTGCTAAAAGGTTGCCCTGAAAAGTCAAAAATAAGACTTTTAGCTATAAAATTTTGAAAAAAACTAATAAATAGACTTTTAGGAACAATATAATTTGATCTCAAAATGGTTTATTTTTTTAGACAAAAAATTTGGTACCAAAAATATAATAATTAATCACTAATATCCAATTTTCATTGCTAAAATTATAATAACGACACTTTTTGTAACAAAAATATTTGGCCCCCTAAAAATAATTTTGGTCTTTAAAACCTTAATTTTTTGTAGTGTGATAAGTGTTTTTCCATTTTAATTTTGCATTTTGTATTTTGTAACTTATATAAAAAATATAATTTAGCTAAACCTTATAAGGGAATTTGTAATTTAGCTAGACCTCAAGGGGTGTAGGTAATTTGTCCTTATTTGTCAAAGGGCATTTTGGTCAGTTTATGATCCCCGTTAACAGCGTTAACTGCGGTGGGGCGCGATGTAATTTTTAAAACCTTAGGGGAGAATTTGTAATTTAACTAAACCTTAAGGGAGGTGTAGGTAATTTGCCCTTTCAGGTTAAATTAGGTTGTTTGGTGCTTTGAAAAGGTATCAGGGGCTATATCGTCCATCAATTTATATTTTGGTGATATCAACTAATCATTCTTAACGTTTAGTTAACAGCAAATGTTAAATTGTTATGTGAATATAAATCTGGGGACGAAATGTAATTTCTGAAACCTTAGAGAGAATTTATAATATAGTTAAATCTCAAAGGGAATGTAGTAATTTGCCTTAATAAAAATAAGGGTAAATTATAAATACACCCCATGAGATTGCTTAAAATACAGATCGCCCCCTGTGATTTGAAAATTTCCAAATATCCCCTTATTAGAATTTTTTATTTAACAGAATTAACCAAAAAAATAAAATTCATAATTGCTCTTCTATACAATAATAAAATTACCTAAATTATTAATTGAAACATATTTTTAACATCATTAAAAACTGTTAATTGACTTGATGATTTATTAATAAAAGTGGCAATTTGTTATGAAATTAGAAACCTTAATGGGTGGAATGTAATTTTCAAAACCACAGGAGGCGATTCGTATTTTAATCAAACCTCAGGGGTAGGAGTAGGGGTAGGGGTGGGCGCGGGTCAGTTGCGGCTACAGAACCTCCAATCTGCCATCCGTCCGCTAAAATGGCAGATTAGAGAAAATCAATCCGCATCCGTCTGCCAATCTGGTGGATGTGGATTGAGCAGATTGACAGATGGATACGAATCGGTTTTGCGGTTTAAAATTTTATAAATTTTCAACATAATTTAACTTGTGCACTTAAAAAAAAGAGTATTACAGTCAATGACTTAAAAAAGTATTACAATCACTATATGCCTCATTCAAAGAAAGAAAGTTTGAAATTTTAAAATATTACAATCACTGCATGCATCATCCACATATTACAATCATAGCACACATCATCGACATAAAGTATTATATGAAGTATAACAATCTATAGTTCTTAAAATATAAAAATAATTCAAACCACCAAAATCTTGAATAGAGCAGTAGTAGAGATTGTATGTCTCTGTATTGTTATATTTATATATGTTTTTAAAAACAAAAATCAATTAGCAAATATCATTTTTTTTATTTATTATTTTTAGAGTTAGATTTAAAAACTAAAAAATATAGATAAATAATACATTTATTTTTTTCAATTCAAAAAATATATTCAAGTTGAAAACTCTTTTTCAACATAATATTTAAACTCTTTTTTAATTGAAAATACAAACAAAATATCTAAACAAATTGAAAATATAAAATTTTACAAATTACTAGAGATGCTCGCGGTTTGGTGGTTCGGTTGCAGTTAAAGTAGTCTCAAATCCGCCATACGTCCAAAACTAGACGGATTGAAAAAAATTAATTCGCAACCGTCTACTCGTCATCACGCATTCATTCAAAATGCGGCGGATCGAATCAGTTCAATTGGTTTGGACGGATCGATATATCCTCTGCTCACTCTTATTCAAGAGGGTGTATTTGTAATTTATCCTAAAAATAACACATCCTAGGAAGCCATCAATCAGCATGATCCAGATCGGAAACGAAGGGAAATGTCTTTGAATTGGGAAAGATTAAAAGTAGATTATGGCAAAGGAAGTGAAGTGAGGGGTAGGGTTGTGTAAAGGAGTAATGGCAGGGATTGGTGGAAGGATCATGGTAATAAAGACGAAAGGTTGAAGAAGAAATAAAGAGAATGGTGAAGAATTGACTAAAGAATTAAATGTTAGCATTTGATTGTTGTGACATCATGTATCAAGTATTACAAATTGAGTCAAAATTGAAACAATTAATTAATTGATTAACTGAAATGGGCCGTTAAAATTGATTATTATTTTAGAAGGCATCAGTTTAATTTATCCTTGCATTTTAGAGTTAAAACCTCCGCCTATTAATCTTGAAATTGTAGGTACGAATTCGTTGACACTTACTTTATTGTAAACTATTAAATGGCAAATTTGTATTAATTATCAAAATAGGGCAATTATATTCGTTAAATAAATAAATAAGTTTGAATTAAAATTTTAAATTCATTTAATAATCAAGTCGAGCTCAAATTCACTCATTTAGTTTTTATTCAAATAACAAGACAAGATAAACATTTTATTCATGAATTTAATAATATAAAAATATGTGTAAATAATATAATTATCTAAATAATATTAATAATAATAAAGAAATTTATTATCAATTTCTAATTGAGCTTATACTTGATTAATATTAATTAGCCGAGCTGAATTAAGCTGGAGATGAATTAATTATTAAGTTGAGTTTAAAATAAATTTTCTTTGATAAATAAATAAGGCAAATTCGAATCTTATAAAATTCAATTCATTTATAATATTATCAAATCACCTCAAAATAATGGATAAGTGTGGTCTCTACGCAATTATTCAAGATTTGATTTTAAGAAGCTAACTCAGGCATCTCTTATCCCTTAACCAAAAAAAAAAAATTCACCTCCCGTAATATTCACGGCTCTATTCAAATTTTTCTACCTCTAATATATATATATATATAAAGGATCCGTTTGGGAAGAACTAAAGTGGGTTTTTTTTGGCTATTTTAGTCACAAAAGACAAAATAGGCTATTTTAGTCATAAAAAACAAAACATCACATCTAACCCATAATCATTACACTCTTCTCTCACAAAAAAAGTCAAAAAAGTCAAAAAGCCCTTCCCAAAT